TATATATATACACACACACACACACACACACACACATACATATCCAGTTTTATATTATTTTATATTTGAAAAATATATTTATGTACTTATTTTAATATTTATTTCAGCACTTGTCCTCCTAGCACCTAGCATCCACCTGGGGTTCCCCTAGATCCCCGTTTGAAAACCTCTGGCCCCAATTTCACTCTAATTTTGACAAAATGTGTCACTCCATCTTGTTTTTGAACAGCACTGTGGGTGTGTTATGTCACTCATATACGCTCTAATGCATATCTCGTGTCATACGTGACTGCTCAGATCAAACCACCTCACACTCATCCTAGTGCCTTTCCTGCAGAGACAAGCACACACATGCACAAATGCACACACACAAAGGGCCCCTGAAAATAGTCACTGTGGAGAACCTTATAAAGCGAGCAAAACACACACACATACGAGATCGCACATAGAGCTGTTGTTCAGGCTGGGGTCCTGAGAGCGGGGTTCAGAGCAGCCAGTGTCCCATCTGGCAGGAAGCACTCTGCATTCTCAGCGACGTGCCTTGAGTGGACAAATCATGCTGATTGTGTGGGAGAGAAACCCAGTGCTGCTTCCAAGATGAAGGCAGAGAGGGAGGCATCATGCAAAGAGACAGCCGTTCCTTCACTGTTTTTTCTCCTATGGCTTTTCATCTTTACTTTGGCAGGTAAGACGACATCATGACTTTTCTACAGTGCATGTTGAGGGAAAACTTTCTAAAGAAGAGGAAGAAAAAGTGTACGCCGTTGTCAGTTTCACTTTTCAGTGTGTGTTTTGTTTGTGGGTGGCTGGATGACACATTTCACAAATGGAGTGATCAGTCATGTGAATTAATTAGGGCACTTGATGAAACTGTACATTTGAAATGCTTTTAAATGTGTTTTGTTTTATTAGAAATACTGTCTTTTTAGTATGAATGTAATAGTAAGGAAGTTAAAAGGCAAATGGAATGATTATATGACTAACCTTAATAAATGCACATTGCAAAATTTATTTATTTATTTTTTTTAAATAAATAATCACACCACGGACCAGTTTTTTTTTGCATTTTGGCAAAAAAAACATTCATGCTGTCTTTCATCTCCATCCATGCATTAAATTTATTTTAAAGGCCGCATTTGTGCAAAAAAATCTGAACAACAATTTCAGAACAATCACTACGGCATGAGTGAGCTGGCATGAGCTTGATGACGTCACATTTTCTTAAAATCAGGTATAGATGTGCCAAGGACATGTCCTAACTAAAGCCTAGTCTTCCTCAGAGACCTTAGATTAGCAGAATCACTGGGCCCCACTGTCTACATCTCCCCATCCACAAAAGAGCATGTCTCTTGCACAGCTGCCCCTGATTGGAGGAGAGCAAGCCTACAATCCATCCCTTTGTTAGCTCATCCTGGCAAGACCTCAACAGTGAGAATTGTTGCCACAGCGATTGAGCCATGCCATGCTGACTCGCACTGCCCTGGCAAAGCGGGCAAGGACATGTTGGTTCACTCAGGAGTAATAAACACAAAGCTGTTTACCAGCAGGTGTCTCGCTGGAGAGTTCAGGCAATGTGTATTTATGGTTCAAACTGCAAAAATTGGCTGAAAATAAGAAATAATCAGTTTAGTAAACATAAAAAGTGAAGAGAAAATATAGAAAATATCTATCTATCTAATCATTTCTTTCTTTATCTATCTAAATGTATTTATAATATATTATAATATTTAATAATTTATGTTAGATAATGAAACACCAGCATCTTACAGTCAAGGGTCTCACTTTTTACTATAATTATATCTATCATCCAACCATCCATCCATCTAGTAAAAAGAGAACATTGAGGTAAGCTGATGGTGTTTTATTTCATTTAAATTAATTATTTTAATTCATAGAGTTCTTATTTGATGTTTTAAACATCTTAATTGCAGACTGAATCTTCTTGAAAATAAGACTTTGAATTTAGTTGGAAAAGTGCCTTTTGAGTACATTTTACATTGAAATACTGTACAGTAATTCTGTATAGTTTTAAGCATGTTATTAATAAAGTTTGCTTAAATCAAATTTATATGTATTCATTTGTCAGAAATGTTTGTCCAAAGCCACTTACAGTACACTCAAGGTATTTTGGCAGGATGTAGGGTAAACTGGGGCAAGATGTCACACTTTTTACTCCATCCAGTGAATATTAATTTGTACAGTATCATGAAAAGCTATACAAATAAACTTGAATTGAAAAATTTAACTGAATATTGTTTTAGGGTTTACTATATATTTTTTTCCCTTACTGCTCAGGTTCATTTAACACATATTGACCTTTTGTGACAGCATGCCCCAACTGCTGGAGTGCCAATTTAATGTGTCTGTTTGTGAATGTATTTTCTGTATGTATTTAGGTGTATGTGGGGTGAACATCAGCTGTCCGTCTCCTCTAGTGCGAGGTACGCTAGGAGGCTCAGCCCTTCTCTCTGTGTCCTACACCAGCACCAGTTCTGACAAGCCTGTTATTAAGTGGCAGCTGAAGCGGGACAAACCTGTCACTGTGGTCCAGTCCATTGGTACAGACATCATTGGGAACCTAAGACCTGAGTACCGCGGCAGAATCCTACTGTACGAGAACGGCTCCCTGCTCCTGCATCACCTGCAACTGTCAGACGAGGGCACCTATGAGGTGGAGATCTCCATCACTGATGATACCTTCACTGGGGAGCGATACGTCAACCTCACCGTGGATGGTAAGACAGACATAGACATTTCATTTATGTCATGAGCAACTTTCCTTAGCCATGCTATCTGGTTCTATCACAGTTCCAGTGTCCAGGCCTTTTGTCCACATTGCGGCCTCATCCGTCCTAGAGCTGACTGAGCTCTTCATACTCAACTGCACTCACGACAGTGGCACCAAACCTACCTATAGCTGGCTGAAGGGCGGGAAATCTTTAACCAATGACTCACGTCTGCTCCTGTCACATGACCAGAAGGTCCTGACCATCTCCCGTGTTGTGATGTCAGATGACGACGTCTACAGCTGTAGGGTGGAGAACCCCATCAGCAGTATGAAGAGCCTGCCTGTCAAACTCACTGTTTACGGTAGGTGTTGTTGAGACTCCACAGTCACCTTCATCAGTGAACTGACATGAAATGTTACATAAAATCTTGCTGTTTCATAATAGATAAGAACGCAAACAAATTGGAAAGCAAAAATAACTAGATTACATTCATGCATGTTTATCCAAAGTGACTTACATTGCATCCATTCAGTGTACACATTTTCATTTAATCAGTTATTGCTTTCCCCGGGAATCAAACCCATGACCTTGGCATTGCTAAAGCAATGTACTGTTTGAGCCTTGATACCATATTTACCCCTATATGGACATATTAGTACTGTAAAGGTATATGTACAGTATTAGTACCTAAATGGTACATTTTAGTGCTTTGTGAAAGGGTACTGCCTCATTGATAGCTTTTCTACCTTTTTTTCTGACGGTATATTTAGAAAATAACATAAATAAATAGAGGCATTTGAGTGTAGAATGGTATAAAATAATGTGAATATTGTACATTACATTTTGAATACAAATTATACTTCAAAAACATATAAAAGTAGAAGTAAATTATATCATTATTTAATCATCTTCATGTTGTTTCAGAAATTTCTGTGCAACAGAAAGGAAATATTTTATGTAGCTATTTTGCATTGAACAATAGTTCATTAAAACACACACACACACACACACACACACAGTAAAAGTGTCCATATGAATTGTGTACTAGTCTTCTTTCCAAATCAGTGTTGTTGTTGTTGTTAACTAAAACTATTAGAAATTAATAAAGCTGAAATAAAATAAAGTATAACTAAAAACCTAAACTTATAAATGTTGCCTTGCAACTAACTTACATATAAAAAAAATACTCTGAAGTACAAAAATTGCTTAAAATAAAAAATACAAATTAATATAAAATGTATAAAATCTTCATAGAAATATTGAAAACAAAAAGCACATAACAAAATTGCTCAGATGTAAACTAAAATTCAAACGAAAACTGAAAAAGATAATAAATAAATACTACAGTAGTAGAAGTCACACTGGCCACTTTTATCATGTTTTTGAAGACTGACAGTTACAGTCACCATGAAAAAGAGCTGCAGATTCTTCAAAAGACTGAAGAAATAAATAGCATATGGCTTTGGAACAACATGAGTGTGAGTAAACAATTAAAAAAATGTTCATTTGGATGGTTGGAGTGTTTATGAAAACGGCTGATGAAGGTGATGTTTACGAACAAGTGTTTGGCTCCACTGGAGCTTGGCTGATCCTCTCATCCATCTTCTACTTCTTCACTTGCACACATTTCTGTCAGAATACTCAGCCCAGCAGGGTCCTGCATTCCCTCTGCACAGTCTACCCTTTAAAAAAAGCCTTAAGTTGCCCCATTCATTCTTGCACTTATATTCCTAGCAACCTGTGCAATCAATCTTCCATTTAAGGTCTCCTTAATTTAGACCTTGTCTACAGTGTAGTTTGGTCTTTCAGAGCAGTTTGTTTTGTGGAGAGGAATGATGTACTATGTCACCCTGTATTCTTCTTTTAAATTTTGCAGGACGGAGTTCTCTCTACATCATCCTCTCCATGGGAGGCATTTTCTTACTCATCACCTTGGTGACAGTGTGCGCCTGTTGGAAACCCTCCAAAAAGTACCAGCTCTATTGTCCTTATCCATTCTGTTTGATAGGTCTAAAAAGCGAGCCACAATAAATCTCGCCAGCTTGCACTGTTCTTGTAAGAAAAGTCTTTGTGCTTCAAATGTTAGGAGGTCAAAGTTCCACAGATCAGATGAAAAACAAAGACCAAACCAACAGATTAAACTGGAAAGAAGTCATCTTTTACACGTTTAGGCTTCTATTTGTACACCAAATGAATATGATACTGCATTTGATATTTCAATCACAGTCAGGTATGTTGCTAACCAAACATGCATCATTGTTTTCTCTATAGAAAAAGGCAAGAGCTTGCCGGACAGAGCAGACAAAATGTAGCAGAGCAGAACAACGGCAATCATGAGGGTAACGGCAATCATGTTGTTCATTCTTGTAGAATCACTCAAGATAAATCTCTATGTTCTCTTAAACCAAAAACGTTTTAAAGATGCACCCTCATTAATATATATATAGTTAGTTCCCAAGGCAAAATGTCTAATTTTTTTTTCGTCTAATGTTTATATTTTATTTCATTTTATTGCAGCTTTTTTTTTCAATTACCAATTTTATTGTTGTTGCCTAAAACAGTTTTATTTTGCATGGAGTGGGTCGCATCATGGAGGCCGCCATTTTGAGATCACATGACCAACAGGACACTACTCTTTATCCATGTAACCTCCATTATTGGACATCTTAGTTTGCAGAATAAATCAATCAAGACTGACTGTAAATATATAATTTCTACAATGGCATTATTTCATTTGCTTTTGCCTTTATGCATCCACTAGGTGTTAGTATAAGTCCAAGGCTACTTCATATCAACCAATGCAACATTAAAAATTAATGAGTGCACATTTTTATTTTTGCCTTTTTTTACATCACTGTATAATAGTGATTTTTTTTTTAATGCTTTTATTAATTATTGAATAATTTGCTTTTAAATCTTGAATATTCTCTTTACTGTAGTTGATATATTGCCTGCTAGAAATTACCAGAACCGTCGGAACCCAGGTGGACTATATGTCCTCAAAGAAACGGTAAGAAATTATTATTATTATTATTATTATTATTATTATTATTATTATTATTATTATTATTAATTTCTTACTAGTTGAAATTCCAATTTCACATATCAGAAATACAATTCTTACTAGTAAAAACCTTTGTTTTTGATATCAGTAATCACATGGTTACTAGTACGGATGTTTCTTCTTGATATCAACAATTTGATTGTCACTAGTGACAATTAAATTGTTGATATCAAGAAGAGACATCCGTACTAGTAACCATGTGATTACTGATATCAAAAACAAAGGTTTTTACTAGTAAGAATTGTATTTCTGAAATGTGAAATTGGAATTTCAACTAGTAAGAAATTAATTCTTGATATCAACAATTGATATCAAGAATTAATTTCTTACTAGTTCTTGATATCAACAATTGATTTTGAATGGCAGCCTATGGTGACATTTAACTAGTGAAAATACAATTACAGATATCAAGAATTATTGTTTTTACTAGTTGAAAAGTAATTGTTGATATCAAGAATTAACATTGTTACTAGTGGAAATGTAGTTGCTGATATCAAAAAATAGCTATTGTTACTAGTAGAAATCTAATTCCTGATATCAAGAATGAACATTTTAACTAGTAAAAATTGAATTGTTGATATCAAGAATTCATATCCTGAGAATGAATAAAAGTCAAAATGGCTTGCCATAAAACAGTAGTGTTAACAAACTCTTCAGCTTCTCTCCTTCCCTTTTTCTGTAGAATAATAGAAATGTGTTTAATTGAGTCACTTCAACTTGATTTACCGAGTAAATAAATCATAGCATTTCCCCCCTCATTATAGAAGGGTTTATCCGAAGGTTTTGTTAGCCAAATACTTAAAAGAGCATGTTAGTTAAACGCTGACTAACATGCGTGTGACCATTTAACACAGATAAATGGCGTTCTGCATGAGTAAAGCTTATTCATCTCGTCCTGTCAATCACAACACAAGAGCATAAGCGGCCAAAACTTTACAACACCCCAAGTGAACTACAGCTTGATTTTTTTATATCTTTTTAAGTAGCCCATGGAGGAACATGGAGTATGAAAGTCAGACAGCAAGACCAATGTGTTGTTTATCTCTACTTGTCATGTTCAACTTAACTGTCCAGCATTAGATGAACAGGCGGACTTGTGAATTTGGATTGGTAGGCCTATAGTTTTCATGTAAGCTGCAAACTAAGATCTTTATTTAGAAAACAATTAGATTAGCAATTAAGTTTTTAAGATCTTTTTCTTTATTGTTTTTACATGTTTTATGGGGGTGAAAGGCTATAAAAGTGAAACTGTCGATTATAAACAAAATATTAGGCTACAGACTATATCTGTGACCCTGGACCACAAAACCAGTCTTAAGTCGCTGGGGTATATTTGTAGCAATAACCAAAAATACATTGTATGGGTCAAAATTATTGATTTTTCTTTTATGCCAGAAATCATTAGGATATTAAGTAAAGGTCATGTTCCATGAAGATATTTTGTAAATTTCCTACTGTAAATATATCAAAACTTAATTTTTGATTTTTGCTAAGAACTTCATTTGGACAACTTTAAAGGCAATTTTCTCAATATTTAGATTTTTTGACCATTATGACTGGTTTGTGGTCCAGGGTCACATTTATTGGTCAAGACTGAGGTTGCACATTAAGTTATAGAGGATGGCTGGTTTTGGTGACATTTTATAAAATGGTGAACATGTTATATCTTTTATTTTGCTGACACCAAACATGAGCATTTGATTTACATTAGGACATTATACATTGGCGCTGGCTTTCATTAAAATAGACATTGTTCACATTTTTTGGAAACTTAATAAGGCCAAATATAATGTAAAGCCTATCTCCTTTATATGAAGGAACAGTGGTGTTAAAAGTCATTCCATGTCGAAAGCATGTGTGATATTTTGGAAACAATCTATGAGTTTGTAATGTATTGTTAATCTGTTAAGCATGTCTAACTCGGAGTTAGACAACAACAGTAGTCACACTGTCTGACATTAGGTGTGTGATCAGTCAACCAATCAGATGTCAGGCATCGTAAAGTTCAAGACTTTCTTTTCACAATAAATTTCTTGAAAAACAAAACGAAACAGAAAATGTATAGCTCTTAGTCCATAAATAGATCATTCACACTGTTTTCAAATTCATGAGGATGAGTAGGGTGCAGCAGTGACGTTTTGAGATGATGTTAATAATGCGGTTATCTGAATTATATTCTACTAACGCCAACAAAGCACTTAACTGTATCATTTAAATGATTGACATTAGGTTTGTTTTAGCCTACACTCAAGGGTTAGCAGTTCTATCACTCTTCTTTGCCTATGAACAGTACTTGACGTGGTGAAAAGTGTTGTGTGTAAGTGGTGATTATGCAGAATGGGAACATTTTGGGTACATACTCTAATCAGTCCAGAAAATCCCAAATCAGAATGTCTGTTTCTAAATGCAGTAGTATTACAAAATCTTTCCACTCACTCTTTAACCTTTTCTATACTGAGTAAATAATATTGTGAAATGATGTGTGCTGGACTGACTTCAACATCATTAGCTGGTCTTTGCAGGTAAAAAGCTGAGCTTTTTTTAAATTATCAGCCTTTCGGCATATTTTGTGTGTATTTTGAAGTCAATACAGTGTGGTTGCTTTTCTTGTCTTAACAGGTCAGAGAAACAAAATATGAATCCTTCAAGAAGATTTTCAAGCTTCACAGAGTAGGTGAAACATTAAGGATGCTGAAAAGCGAAAGGTAAAGATGAAAGGACCCTAATGGAGGAGTTTTCCATATTCCTACCCAGATCTGGCCCGGACACACATCCATAAACTGAACAACCATAAAACCTTTTATTATCAGGATAATGTCTTCCCCTTAAATCCTTTATTATTGAAATATGACCGGACTCCTCTCTTTTGTCCCATGATGAGCAGCAAGCATATGCATTTCTGATTACCCGAGGTGTGATTTTCTTTCTCATCTAGTTACATAAGCTTTTAAATGTATGCTTTTGTGCAGGTCCGTTGTTAAGCCACCTTTGGTGATGTTGAAAGTTAGACGTGAACTTCATTGGCCAAATGGTTTGGAAAAACAGTTTTGATCTCTTATTATCCACATTAGCCCTGTCCAGTCTTATGTTCTTATCAAAACCATGCCCTTGTGTCAGCAGTAAAACAGTTCCTCTGGGCGGCCCAGACTACTAATCTATTTCCGCAGAGGAGTGTAGTCAATGGCACATGAGACTCTAAAGAATTAAGACAAGCTTTTCTGGCCCCTCGGGGATGAGATTAGAGAGGAAGGAGGCTCAGAACAGGTTTGCGCTTGTCTCTGCTGTTTACACTTTCATGCCTAGTTTATTTGGGCTCTTAATGATCCAGCCACACATGCCAGCATAATAATGATTGTGATCCAACGTTTTTGTGAGTGGTTGTTCTAACCATTGTCCTTTCCTCAGCTGACCAGATCATATGTTGCTCTGAGTGGACACAGAAAACTGTAGGGCACATTATGCTGACAGAAATGTCATTGAATTCACCCACAATTACATTTACATAGCCTCAATTTTATAGCAATTGCCATGTTTTTAAGTAAATTGTGATTGTTTGCCATTAGTTTGCTTCAATGTTCTTACAGTAGTTTTCCATTAGTGATAAAAATTAGTTTTTTTTCTCCACTAAAGACCCACGAATCTCATCAAATTCAAATGTTGAAGCTGCATATATGACACAGTGGACCATCATTTTTTCAGACGTAAATACAGACTTAGGGTGGGCTGCTAAATCAAGCAGGATGAATGAAAGGACTAAATTAAATGATTACAACAACAACAACAGACATCAAGGGGGTTGGTCACTTTTTCACCGTAGTAACTGTTCCCCCTGACAATAGTGGAGAGTGACAATTATATTCAGGGTCCTTCAATACACCCAGGTTTCCCTTGCTCACTTGCTCTATTTGGCTCCATTGAGCACCTGGGACGGCTGGGAACGCTGCCTGCACGCGGGGAGAACCGGGAGCTGTTGACGCTGCACAGGCAAGAGTGCTATTTTCTGACTCAAAAGTTCTATCTGTAATGCTACGAATAGAACATTTCATTACGTTCAGATTAAGTTACACGGTCAGAAATAAATGCGGCCTGCAGTAAGGCTCTATCTTCAAGCAAGTTCCCAAGAAAGTCTCAGGTGATACTATGTCTAATTGTTTAGGAGCAATCAGAGTAAATTGAGAGTTATTAAAGTTGTACTTATGCACAAATGTGCACTATAAAGTATGTTCTGTGGATTTGATTGTCTTGTGAAAACACTTGGCTTTTAAAGGGATAATTAATCTAAAAATTGTAATTATTTTCTCGTTTACTCACCTTCTTGTTGTTCCAAACCTGTATGACTTTCTTTCTTCTGTGGAACACAAAAGAAGATATTTTGAATGATTTGTCAACTGATTTACCATACATTGAAAGTTAGTGTGGGCCTAGAACAACAATGGACACCACTGACTCATTGTATAAAGAAGAAAAAAACATTTAAATTGCTTGACCCTTGTTTCGGCAAAGTGTAACTCTGCTTTTAATCCTAGGCTATGAAGCTCTGCTCTAGAGCCTGGTTAGCACAATTTAAAGGGTTATTCGTTTGGTTGACAGTACTAGACTACAAGGTCTTTCTTTATGTATTTATTTACAGATTACATTTTGTGGTGGGCCTTTCAAGAGTTGGTCTTGGTGGATCTGCTCCTGGTTAGGGGTTCCAGGACAAGTGGCTCACATAGTTCATCCTGTCAGCATGGGGTCTGGCTCCTCCTCCTGTGCTCCCAAAACCATCTATTTGGACGTAGATGGTAAAGTGCAGAAGGTGAGTATCTCGCTTTAATCATGAATTCAGCTGAAGTCAGTTAGTGGCTAACATGAGATCACAGATTACTATTGGTGGTTGACCAATATGTTTTTTCTAATATCTAGAAAGCAGGGTGTCTGATGACCAATATAATGCAGACATCTTAATGAGTGTGTGAATTAAAGCACACAAAATTGCTTAAATTAGGCCTAAATGAATGCATTTTAAAGAAAAATACTGAAACAGAATTATTATCCATTGACAAACAAATTATGGGACTGGTTGATATATCAGTTTATTTCAAATATCCGAGACCTGAAATGCTGAATCAAAGCCAATAATCAAGATATTAAGCAGTTTGTCATAGCACTAGTAAGTCTGTCAAGAGGAGTGCTGGGAGATCAACGTGCACAGGTTAAAAATAAAGCTGAAGATGGCGTGTTCCACAGGTGTTACTGACATTGACACATTGTTTTCTCCTGTTGTTTCCTAGAGAATGACTGAAAAACTGTTAATGGTAGTGTTTAAATCCAATTTACAGAGTGTTATGTCATTATAATCCATGATTAATGAAAAATATTTTGTGTATTTTAGTCATTAAGATGTAAGATGTGAATTTTATGGGAGGTTCATGAGTTTGTACAGTATGAAAAGTTTATATGGCAGAATATGCTTGTGTCAGATTCAGCAATTCATCTTGAAGCGTACACAACTTCCTAAGAGCTTAGAGAGGCAAAGTGGACATTGAGAGCTTTGAGATTGGCATATGTGTACTGTAGTAAAGGATCTATTGGTGATCTGAGATGGTCTACCACAGCTGCCTCTTTCACCATTGTTATTTTCTATTTTAATGTGAAGTGGTTGAGAATGAAGTTCTCTGTAGTGTACAGACATAACAAATCCATCAAATTTCACTTTTTATATCTTCTGTCGATAGGAACAGTGCTATATTGATGGTGGACCCTGAATGTGCACTTGTGTCCATTGATCCCACGATGCCCACCAACACCCCCAAGTAAAACGCAGTCTGGCCCTTGTATGTATAAGCAGTTATGTTAATTTTCAGTTTGATCTGTCAGTTAATGATCCCATTTTGTC